AGGTATACAGTAGTATATCTATAACGCTTGTATAATAAATCTTCTAAATACTTATTTTTAGAGTCAGGAATTTATTAAATTTGCTTCCGTTTTTCCGCTGAAATATATTGGATTCACAATTGGAGCAAAACGCTATATGCAATTAACTGGAATATTAGAAGTTATTTGTGGCTCGCTTCTCATTTTTAGTTCAGGATCCTTACGAACTATCTGCAGGTCCGCTTTGACGGTAACAATGGTTGCTGCTATATACACTTTGGGAGCTTTACGATATAATCCAGTCGAATTTATACCTGCAATCGTCTGTCTCAGCTTGCTGATTATTGATAGAAAATTGACTGATAATGATAGTAAGAGTATTAACACAAAAAAAAGCTAAAATGGGTTAGATTACATATATAAGCGAACAATTTATGATATTCAGAATGGAAACAATGTCCTCGAGATTTAGCCATTAAACCTCTAAATTGTAAAATTTACAACGACACTTGCTTTGCTAATTTATTACACTATACTAAAATTAATATATCAATTACGAGCTACAACTTGCTAGAAATATTTAAAAATAACGGATTTTGTAAGACATTCTATTAATAATATAAAATGTAAATGCTTCCATAAAATCAATTTCTTACAGTCTACTTTAAGAGAAGCACAAATATGATTTGTATACCAAAAGAAGCAATACGTTGATGTATCTGTAGGGAAGTGACGTAAAGTCATATTGATGCTGATATTAAGTTGTACGGATGTCTAATAAATTAGTAAGTACATGATGATACGGTCAACTGGAGTGCGTGCTGTATTGGTGTAACAAAGTATAACAGTCCATGTTAAACTAGAACCTAACCTAATAGGGCGAGCTATTACAGCATCATATTTACTGTACGCTCGCATATATAAATACTGTATAAGTAAGTATATACTATGACCCGTGCAGTATAGTATTAATAAAGATTAACTATACTGCTATTGCTTAGAAATAATTTGCTCACATCAGGGTTTACGAAGAAAAGAAATGTAGGTCTGATAATTTCCACTATATCCGTATTATCCCTTATTCCTTACGATGACCATTACGTAGTAAAGCAGTCCTGCGTAAAATAGTAGCTATAGCTGTGAAAGATATTCGATTATTTCGTACAGCAGCATTACTATGCGAAGTGATAAAGAGTAAAAGAAATCGACCTGTTCCTATACAGTATACGCATAGAAACTGACTCCATAAATTATACATTGTTATCGTTATCTCAGCCTACTTCGGTACTGATCTAATATCAGAAGACCAAAAAGTATTCTTGATGCAGTATTATAATTATACTCTTCGAGCAATTAGAGGTATAAATTAAAGAGGCAAAAATCACTGCCACTATAAGTTGACAATTTATTTATTTTTTGTTGTTGTTGAGAATGACTATAATAAAAAACAAAAGGAATCTGTACAAGAATTTTTCGAATCATTTATTATGTCTGATACCGAGTATAGCATAAAATGATTTATACATTATCATATATCTAAATAATGTTAAAATTTCTTTGTTGCATTACATCTTTGACATTGGTTTAAGCATCTGACTAGTAGAAGATGCTAACAATATATAAGTCTTTGAATCGTGATCAGTTAATTATATATTGGATATCTAACTGTATGAATATAAACGGTACACGTATACAATACATGAGAAAATATTGGAGCCAGCGCGTACCCCTTCATTCTCTATGAAATAAGTGATTATCAGTATAGATGTCAATGTAGGAAGTAGATTGAGATCAGTAAATCATGATTGGAACAAGTTACTGATACTATTATCTTCATCAAGTGGTATTTATACAGGAACGGTCTATAATTTACAAAGCTTCAGAAACGTATCAAGGTCATAATCAAATAGAGCGGACATATTACCATCCTAACAATTGATTCTTATCCACATTACCATGTATGTGCCTATTATTCTAAAACTGTTTTCTATACACGTCTAAATCGAAGTCAGTACTTGCTAACTACAGCCATTTCAATCTAACCTTAGGGTCTTTCTCAATGTACAATTTATCTCTTCGTAGGTAGATTTTACAATACTATGGCTATAATTTAACATGCCTTAATTAACGCGAAGTTAAAAGAAAATCTATTTATATGCATTTTCTTCCTTGAAAATTCGGAGATTTGTACGTGTAATTTTTATACTTATTGCTTCATCAACTCAAATGTTTGTAAGTCAATACCAAAATTTGTATCCAGTTCAGTAGTTCAGATATAGATTTAGTCCATATGACGTTAAACATCACAGAATAAAAGTTATTAATTTGGATTTGCTTTAAAGTACCATTGTACGGATACCTTGAGATTAATTTAATGATTTCCCATGGAGAGTGAAGATAAGCGGAAGCGTCTATCAATAATGCCTGTCTGGAATTTTTGAGTAATTTAGAGATAAGGTTTCGTGGTATAGCTGTCAAAATGTCACAGACAAGTACACAAAATAGATTAACGATAGCGAAGTAAGCTCAAGCGACTTCCAAATCCTGTGCTACGACGCGACATAAAGCTAAATTCTACGATAACTTTTATGTATTACCTGACTAGTGGATCTTGGATTGCCTTGGTAGCATTTATCTATTACCTACAGTAATCATTCATTACCATAATTTCATGTACGTAAGTAAGGCCAGCAGCAACAATATGGTCAAATTGGGGACATTTTAAGAGAAAATCCTAGAAGTCCCTCGTAAAACTAATCAACTTAAAATAACCATCCATCTGTACAGTACCTTGTCGAAGTAAGACTTTAGTTTGCCCTGGATCTTGCGATCGGATAGGAAACCCTTCACCTGGCTACAATCCTGTAAAGAGACATACGTAACAATGGTTACTGACAGCGTCCATGAAAGCTACAGTATACCTGTAATAAGACGAAAACTAACCAAGTTAATCGATTCTGCTCCAAATTCCGATGCTAATCCGGGTTTCGATCTTGACATCTCCTTATTAGATGCTACCTGATTCTAATTATAACAACATATAATCAGTCGCACTATCATTACGACGGAACTTTCCCTAAAACTTCAAATTGGCGAGCAGAGATATTGAAAGGCATGATACTACAGTAGTAAAGAAGTTGTGTACTTTGAAAAGTACTTACTAATTTCGTGCCCACTAGTAAAATCGGGACATTACTAGTACCAGCAAACTGTTCAGGATCGTATTCTTTTGGGCTGGCGAATAAGTATATATATATTGTTGGATATAAGCGATATTCTCGGTTTAATAAGACGATGCATCATTGAATATTGCAATGAACATAAAATAAATAGTCAGAAAAAAATTGAATCTTGATGATATTTTTTACCCTTCTTTGATAGGACTTTTCATGCCTAGAATTACATGAAATACATTAAATGATTACATCAATTGTAAAAACTATACGCCATGACAACTATCCCTGCTAAGCAGGATTGATTCATAATTTTGACCGACAAGTTAGTGTACTGTCTTTTCGGTTAGAGCAATTGTACCTCAAGAGCGCAAAATTTGTAGTGCTGGTTATTTTACCTGCAGATTCTCGACTTCCAAGAGCTTCTTGTAGCCATTTTCTTAAGTTCATTAATGATTTTCGATTGGATAAGTCATGCACGAGAATGATACCTAAAAATAGACAATTGTTGTTGAATACTCCATTAAGATGTCCGCTAAAATGTAGGGCTAGTATGATATCGAGAAATCGGTAATTACTTGTCCGTTATTGATAAAATAAAGACAAGTGTATATGAATGTCTTCACAGACAGTTTGACGTTTCAAATTGTAAAGTAAATCAGCGCAACCAGCCGCTTACCATGAATAACGTTATAGAATATCCCTCTACTAGCGGCATGACTCGATGATCCACCGACATCAAACAGTTCAAGGAAATACGGTTTATTCCCATGTCTATTATCGCCATACTCGTGAACCTAGTGTGTAGGAGATAACATTTGACACGTAAAACTTTTTAGTCCTGCGTCAAGGCATGAACAAGTTATTCTGTCATGATTTAAGCATGCAATCGATCGATATTGCAATTACCGTAACAACTACAAAAGCAACACACCAAATATGACGATAAAATGAAGACTTTTTTTATTAGAACAATAAGCCCGAAAAGAGGCAATATGTGTCCTGTCGTTCGATGCAGTTTTGTATCATCTCGATTGACAAAGAATAAAGCTCGATCATCATCATTAGATTGGCGGACCCTATCTTCAAATAGGCTTTCCTACGAAGTGGGTTATACCCATCTGCATACGATTCTATCGTGTTTGTAGATTTGATTTTAATGTATTTAATTGGATGAAGTGATGTCGTAAAATATTTCAAGCAAACTGGAGTTGGCACTAGAGCTGATAGGAGATACTGTATGTTATTATCTACTGCACACTGGCATTCCCGCTACAGTAACTTAACAGTACCATTCCATTCCGACGAATTTTCATCTTGCAAAATATTTCATATTGTAATCGACATTGAAGGTAGAGTTATTGGTACACTTGTGCTAGCAGATATATTGCATATGATTTGCACTCACTTTTATACTACAAGTGAAAATAGATGGGTTCAACGACAGGTAATGGAGATCCACTTTGTCTCACCTTTACATGAATAGAGCAACCAATAGTCCAATACGGATTGGACAAAAATTCTTGATGGCAAAGTAGATGTATCAAGGTCGTTTTCCCCACTCCTAGAGATAGAAATAAGACAATTATTGTGAATGTTGAATAGTTTGAGCACCGATCATGTTGACCATGGATCTTTAGAATAGACTTGATGGTCAACAATTCAAAGTCAAAATGACTGTGTCCATTAGCAAGTTACTTCATTGTACTGTATGTTTCAATAACACTATTTTATCTTGTCTTTTATTCGATCAATGGCTACAACTACTTCGTATTAGTCATTATTTTAAGTGGTCGTCTAGACCATCTAATCCTATCATTCCTATTGTGTAGCATCAAGTTCTGACCGGAATCACCCAAGACTAAAATTCGAACTTTATCAACATCCATCTTGCAGTGGTGGCATCACTTCTACGCTTTGCTTTTTTTCTCAATCGAAAGCCAATAGAATGAAATTTGAAGACGAGCTGCTAACGCTTATGTAGAGTAGAGTACAGTACTGCAGTATACAGTACGATATACAGTGCTGTACAGCAGTAATCGAGTACAGTATTAACAGTACTAGAGACTGGAGCATAGAACCAAACCTTCGACAGGTGTATCTGCAATCCCTCAAGACCACAATGCTAATCGCTGGCATCAATCAATACGGAAAAGAGGGAGAGCATTATCGCTATTGACATTTTGGTGGAAAAACTACTGCAGTACTGCATGGGCAAGTTGGAACGTTGACCGATAATTATTATGATTGAATTTAAATTTTGCAATTATAGTATGTACAGTACAGCATCGCTATTGACATTTTGGTGGAAAGAGGAAAATTACTGCAGCACTGCATGGGCAAGTTGGAACGCTGACCGATAATTATTATGATTATGATTGAATTCCAATTTTTGCAATTACTGTACAGTATCGCTGTTGACATTTTGGTGGAAAAACAACTGCAGTACTGCATGGGCAAGTTGGAACGTTGACCGATAATGAATATGATTGAATTCAAATTTTTGCAATTACAGTACTGTACAGCATCGCTATTGACATTTTGGTGGAAAAATTACTTCAGCACTGCATGGGCAAGTTGGAACGTTGACCGATAATTATTATGATTATGATTGAATTCCAATTTTGCAATTACTGTACTGTACAGTATCGCTGTTGACATTTTGGTGGAAAAACAACTGCAGTGCTGCATGGGCAAGTTGGAACGTTGACCGATAATTATTATGATTATGATTGAATTTAAATTTTTGCAATTACAGTACTGTACACTGTACAGCATCGCTATTGACATTTTGGTGGAAAAATTACTTCAGCACTGCATGGGCAGGTTGGAACGTTGACCGATAATTATTATGATTGAATTTAAATTTTGCAATTACAGTATGTACAGTACAGCATCGCTATTGACATTTTGGTGGAAAGAGGAAAATTACTGCAGTACTGCATGGGCAAGTTGGAACGTTGACCGATAATTATTATGATTATGATTGAATTCAAATTTTTGCAATTACAGTACTGTACACTGTACAGCATCGCTATTGACATTTTGGTGGAAAAATTACTTCAGCACTGCATGGGCAAGCTGGAACGTTGACCGATAATTATTATAATTATGATTGAATTCCAATTTTGCAATTACTGTACAGTATCGCTGTTGACATTTTGGTGGAAAAACAACTGCAGTACTGCATGGGCAAGTTGGAACGTTGACCGATAATGAATATGATTGAATTCAAGTTTTGCAATTACCGTGCTGTACTGTACAGTACAGTACGTAGAGTAGAGGCGTAAATGAACTAGATCCATAGCTGGATAGGGGAGCGTGAGAGACGAAAGAAGTTGAAGAAAGCTTTCATCGCACTATCGCCATTTATGACAAGATCGTGCCTTGATAGAGACACTTGGGTTAAATTTTCCAAAAATTGGAACCTCTTAAATGAAAAAGTTCACGTTAAATGTCGTATGTGGGTGTCAGCGAAATGATCCTCACTTGCGATCATAGAATCATCAACGCACCCTCGACAAGGACGATGGTTCATAAAAGCGAGCCAATCGGTTTATATATGTAGACTAAAATGACTCTAATTATGGGCACAACGAGGCGCAACCCTGCGCAGTGAGTGTGCACCAAGAATACAGTAGCAGTGTACCGAACCGTACCTGACCGTACAGTACTCTACTGTACTGTATTTGTATTAATGCAAAATTGAAATGAACTATTGTACTGTACTGTACAGTGTACAGTGTACAGTAGCGGCTGGTTTTGTGCCACTCGCTACACTGTACACTGTACTGTACTGTACGTTTTGGACGATAGCGTACAGTACTGTACACTGTACAGTACACTTGAATGACCAGAAAATTGATAAAATCCTCTACGTTCTTTTCCATTCAAGGCAGCTTTCCGTCCGTCTTTCTTTTCAGTACAGTACTGTACTGTACTGTACTGTACTGTTGCAGCATGGTACTGTAGCACGGGTTGCGACCATACGACCAGGTCTGACAAAATTGGGGAAATAAAATGGATAAAATAGTCTATCGAACTCGCATCTCCTCGGCTATTCTTGCTGTTGTGAATGGTTTAAGGGGACCCTTAACAAAAAGTGGTACGTACAAATCCAATGTAGCTTCAATATGCCGCATTTCTCTTCAACGATTATATTCAACAGAAATAATTAAAGCCAATCGTCCAAATTACTATTACGTGCTTGGTATATCGCCGAGCGCAACTCAAGCTGAGATCAAAGCTTCTTATTATCGCCTTTGCAAGAAATATCACCCTGACGTAATCGGTAGTAGCCTGGTAGATCATAATAAATTTACTGAAATTACTGAGGCGTATTCAGTTTTAGCTTCTGTCGAATTGCGTCGAAAGTATGACAGAAGTATGATGGTAGAACATGGGTATCCGGCACATTCTACACGTTCAAAAAACAATCCTCGACCAACCATGCATTCTAGTAGTCGGTTTGATCGATCTCGTCGAGCTGACTATGCTAGCGCTTATACGTTGAAAAGAAACGATCAATCGCCACATGCGGCAAAAGAAGCTACGGATCGAATGAATCAAGTTGCAGCTGAAACGAGGGAACATCGGAGATCAATTTGGACGGTTATGCTACTAATTCTAATTTTGGCTCCTATATTGACCCGTATCAGTTGAATCAGATTGGATGAAAAATTACCAATGATTTGCTGACTTGACAAACTACAGTAGTTTATCACTTTGAAAAGTGATTCCTCAGTAACCTTGACCTAGCCTACACAGATATGTACAGTATTTTACAAGTTGAAGACTCGGATTCCTGCTATTATTAGAGTCATGACTGTTGTACTGTTAACACTATACAGTACAGAAAGACAAGTTGACATTCCAATCAATATTACGCAAGATACCAATGAATGGAAAATTTCATTTCATCTTCTGACTTTTACTTTCCTGTCACCAACCAGCTTTATGATAACATAACTTAAAGGTCAACTTCTACATATTCACAGTACTGTACTTTGTAAGCCGATGACTATTTTAGTTAGGTAAAACTAGAGAACTGATTTTATTGAATAATTTGCCGAGCTTCCCTACACTTCGCCTGCTGCTAGCCTTGGTCAATTATCCTGCAAAAATAATATAATCAATTATATAATTATCGATGTGTGGACATCTACTGACTAACTTCTACGATCTTCCTACTATTAGTCAGAATTACAGCCACAAGACTAGACTACATTACAAGAGCTTGTACTAATCAATTCCTGTAGCACATCATAACCAGTGATTCATAGTCACCATCTAAGAACGTTGGTTTTACTAAATTTAGTCAACTAAAATTTCACGGTAGTTTATACTAACACATTTCTACAGAGCGGACCGTATAAATAAGCTATATTCTAGCTCAGGTAGTTTTTCATCGTTACTGCAAACGGACAATGTACGTATATTTAAAAGATAAGAAACTGAACTTATCAGAGAAGTAAAACATCAATCTTTGCATTTATAGAAACTATAGCAGTTGCCTTGAGCATCAGAAGTATATTGTAAATATGCAATGTAATTAACGTACCGAATGAAAGCTTCCATCTTTTGTAAACTACTGGTACTGTATCTGGTGTACCATCGCTCATGCTGTAAATTGATCTGATTAATTGTCAATCAGTGATAAATTGTATAGTGAAGTAAAAAGTAAAAGTACAGTATAGGACGCAAAGTATAATGAGTGAGGATCTACTAGTATTTAATAACTATTATTATAGTACGCAATGATACTGATTACAGAGTATTCGCCAAGCATTCAATCAAGTATTTACGTGTAGTATATTACATTATCTTGCAATTCAGTTCCTAAACTGGTACACACGCTAAAGCTGAGCGATTGCTGCGAATATTTCAATTTCTATGCTATTACGTACAGAATCAAGCATACTTATGATTTTATTCTCGATTTTACGCTTGTCACAAAGTGACTTTTATTAACTAATGCTTAGCTTATTTTCGTCCGATAACAAACTTGCTATTTGTCCAAAATACCGTTATTTATGGCGTTATACATTCTTTTAAAGATAAATGCATAGTTTTATAATATTATCTCAATACTTATAATTAATTAATATTTACGGAAATTGACTTTTTTTTCAATAAAGTTTTGGATTTAGTTTTGTCTAAGAGAGTCTAATGTAGTTATTGCTCCCCTGATGATAGGAGATCGTCAGTATTTAGAGTCGTACAGTAAGTAGATATCGGGGAGGACAAACCGAACACTCGACTTAACTCTGATTTAACGCCATTCAAGGCCTTATTTCGACGTATTGACGAGTAGTAACTTTGTAAAACTGCCGGTATAGAGTTAGAATGAGCGTCTGACTGAGCAGGTAGATACCATGCATATGAAAGTGGACGATGATCGGCAGAACCAGTGTTTCCGTTATACATTACAAATGCTGTCAATGTATTTGAGGTAAAAAGTCGAAACGAATATGTCAAGCGACCGTGATAACGTAAAGTAAAAGGTGCAAGCATAGCACGCGAAGTATCACGAACGAGGGATCAACTAGTAATATGCGTATATAATTTTGTAATTATTAGCAGGAATTCGAAAGTGATTGATTATAATCCCCATCATCTCCAGCACGAGTAAACGCTTCCAGTAGACAGCATTGTTTACAGTACTGTACAGTAAGTATATAACTTCCAATAATTATCATTCATCTTATCATACTGTAATAAATGTCCAATTCCTGCTAATAACGTGCTTAGCGACTTTGGTCGGTAGTAAACATTTCAAGTTTATTTTGTTGTGAGCAATACAGTCGTCCTGTTGTGGTCAATCGGCCCAATTGCTAGAATTGACTTACGTAGGATTATCCGACTAATTTCGCTTTGATCATCGGGTATTTATCGAGCTATGAGGGAAAAGGACGAAATCAAAATTTGCCGGTGGTCATCCCAGGGGCTAGGGTTAGACTCCTCTTTTCTACAGTACACTGTACTGTAGGATTACAGTGTAACATACTGTACACTGTGCTTGTACCAATCAAGTTTATGATCGAGATCACGTGAACTATTGATCGGTCAAATCGTGGAAACGGACTACTGTACTGTACACTGTACAGTGTACAGTATTTCTTTGGTCATTTTCAAGCTACACCAATCAAATTTAGGATCGAGATCACGTGAACTATTGATCAGTCAAATCGTCGAAACTGACTACTGTATTTCCTTGGTCATTTTAACTGCACTCCACCACTGGAACCGTACCCTACAGTACACCAATCAAGTTTATGATCGAGATCACGTGTACTATTGATCAGTCAAATCGTCGAAACTGACTACTGTATTTCCTTGGTCATTTTAACTGCACTCCACCACTGGAACCGTACCCTACAGTACACCAATCAAGTTTATGATCGAGATCACGTGAACAATTGATTGGTCAACGCGTCGTATTGGCTTGGTCATTTCAACAACACTCCACAACTGAAACCGTCCCCTACACTATACTATACTACTCAGTACTGTTCAAGTATTCATAGTCCGATGACTAGGCAACATTTCAGAGTAAACAAGTGCAGCCGTATCCTGTGCAATGGGCATCAGGGGTTGCTTATAAATTTATTTGAAACTTGCAAATTGACGACTGTCTGTAAATAAAGTAGAATAGAAAAGCAATGTCTAAAAAGTAAGTCAAGATGAGTATCATTGAAATCAATTAGGAAATGAATGCATCAATATTAATCTTTCTAGACGGTATATGTCTCTGCCATGTACTCGTACACCCCTCCACTGACTCAGTCTACAGTAGAGCATAGGAGACTAGTGTTTCTATGCTAGTGTTAAGCTACAGTAACTTCACAATTTAGTAAGCAATTTACTCCAAATCATTTGTAATTCAATTGACGATGGATGCATGGGATTGAATCGTTTAAACATGCCATCCAAATGGTTTGCATCTATTAAGATTGATTTACTTAGTCCTTTATTGAATCGATTTTGCAAGGCTAAATAGTATCTGTTGCTGCATTCAAATCGGACATACTTCCTATATAGTGTATTGCCGGAGATAGCTTGATCAACTTCAACGGCTTACTTTTCGTCCTTATCATGTTATATCACGATATCATGCCACTCTATACGGTAGTTAGACTATTTAAATGTCCTCAATCGCCTTGTACTGTATATAAAATGTTACTGAAGAAATGGTGATTGATTTGTGAAGGGATAATGACCTCCTCGATAGATAAAAGATAAGCACATGCCAACTAGAAAGTTACCAGTAATCCATCACGATACTGTATATATGTTATGTATATATATATATATATGTCATATACATTTGTTAGTTAATCCAATGTTTATTATGTCAAGCAAATGCTATTAAAAATCTGTCACACAATGCAGTTATTGCTATACAGCGAATATCTTCATATCTGGCAGTATTATGACATGGATAATAGTAATTATACTATCAACTGTCGGAAAAATCTTATCCTATGTGCTCTTATCCTTCAATGGCTACTAGGAATAAAAGAAAGAGGGAAAGTAGCGATTCGATCAGTTCTTCCGATGGCGAAAGTATGTATTATCATATATTATAGAAAAAATCCATAATGTAAACAATTTTAAGAAAGTACTAGTCGATGCTTTTGATGTGAAGGTTTCACATAAAGTGAATGTTTGAAGAATTGCTATAGCAATATTCATATACCGTACCTGGATCAACTCATTTAATGTATGCACAATAGCGTACAAAACTGTCAGTAAACTACACATACTGATCTATAAAATCAATATTTTCACCCTTGATTCCATCATATTCTCATTCTGAACAGAGCATTCAAGCAGCCATCATAAAAAGCATAAAAAGAAACAAGAAAGCGATCGCAGAAATGTCAAAGATATAGGTATCCTAATGATAATTTTTATATCAAACAAATTGAGTAGCAAACGTCTTGCCTTTTCAATATAGTCAGCACTTCACATCGATGCGACACTTAAACTTTTATAATGCATCTGACTTGTATAAAAAACATATTCTATTTAGTCTACTTAGCATAACACTTAGGATAGGTATATTGTATTCTTATTAGTGCAATAACCTCACTCATTTGAGAATGAATCTCTTGGCCATAGGTCCTGACGATTTTTACAATAAAAACTCCGAATTTCGGACATGGTTAATTGAGAAAGTAAATATGTGAAAAGTTATGGTAGTGCATAAAGCACTTGTATTACACTTTGATATCATTGGTTATCACATTGGTACCGAATACTACGATATCAGCAACGATAAAAACGATGAATCCTTTGATTTTTTAAGATCTAACTGAATTTCTTTAATACTTTTTAAGTATGGCGCCCATTTTGACAGTTATTCTAGTAGCAAGGCAAAGAAAATGTTTAAAAAGTTTTGTAAGAAATGGAATAAAGGAAAATTAAATGAGGTTAACATAGTATTCAAATTTATACCGCTATTCCATACAAATTTTTGTTACACCACTATATACGATTCTAAAATGGACCTATGCATGGTTCAAATATGGAAAGCGCTTTTTTGAAACTTTATAAAGTAACAAGTGTGCAGTATTGTGCTACTGTACATGTATACTTTGATAATAAATACAATTTATTTGGTCTTTATTTAGAAATATTATAATGGAATTCAACCATCCACTATAGAACGTGAAGCTAGGACGGGCTACAAATGGAAGGTAGATAATACTCTAGCATTTATTTTATTTTAATAGTAAAGTAGGCTGGTTATCAATATACTGACGCTCTTCTGCTACCCAGTATAAATGCAGATTCAACAGTTCTTGTAACGGATATTTATTCTTACACTATAGTTCGCATCTGATATTGATGATATCAAATTAGGATCTGTGAAAGATAAAGTTGGTAGTTGGACTAAAGGTAAAGGTGTAGAGTTACAACTAGGCGATAATAAAACACATCCTAAACATGTTGGCGACGCAGAATCGATCAAGCCAATTCAAGGACCAGCTGCTGGCCCTAGAATAGTATGTTTATTATACCGAGAAAATTGCTTTTAACTATGCTGTATTACGACCTTGTAATGATAGTACTTTCATTACCTTTTATATTGCATAATAAATTATAACCATTATAATGGATTTCTTAGTCTACAGCATCACAAGCTGATAAAGAAGAATGGAACGAGTACGAAAACTACTTCAATAAAAAAAGATCTAAAAATGCTAAGGAGCATGACAAAATGGTAACATTGCTTCTGAATATCTAATAATCCGGTCGTACATTTAAATTTATTTAGTAAATATTATTTAGGTTTTAGACGAATTATTGCCAAAAGCTACTGGAAGAGAAGCCGTAATAGAAAAAAGGAAGGCGAGATCGGAAACTAGGCGACATAGAGATGTTAGCCCAGGTTAGCGATCTTATATTGAATATAGCTTTCCATTAGCAACTAAAAGTACATTTATAACGGTAATGATCATTCACTTTAATAATTTAATTATGTAGTGGACTTGACCGATAATCTCTAGATATTTGAAATTAACATTATCGAGCAAATTCTCTATAAAGTTGTCCCGTCAAAAATTTATTCACCAGAGAATCTATGTTTTTACGGGCAACAAATTTCAGCAGGCAACCATGTTGCCTCTAATGTTATCAGATTTTAAGAATGAGTTTTGCAATCTGAATTACTAGTATATGAAATAAAGAACGTACGATAGAGTATTAAACGACGTTAGAAATCTGTATTTGTAAAGTATCTAGCAGATTCTTATAAAAGATTTCATGTCAAACCATTTGCTACTACAATGATATTTTTTAGTTACTAATTCGTAACAATACCGTAGAAGTTACGTACTAATCTTTGATTATGTACAATTAGGGGTGTCGGAATCATTTTTAATGGGCTCAAGGTTAGATTTTGTTTACTTATTATCAGTACATGTTTGTACAGTATAATGTACTGCTTGCTAAGGGTTTACCCGTACGAGTATGATTGCAATGCTTGAAACAGTGGAATGGACTTCCTTTTAAAGCATACTGTACTTTTACGTAATAGCGGGCCTGACATCGAGAGAAATAAGCGAAAACGAGAGGAAAGAAGGTAAACAGGATAAAGATAGTTACTCTCCTTTGCACTCATAGTATAACTAGCGAATATATCACATTTAGGAGAAATGATCTCGTATAATCTAGTTATAATTTACATTTTAAGTATTTCGATGTTCTACAGCTTCATTCTTTAATATATCTCGTACGCTAGGGTTAGACGATACCATGAAGCCGTAGAGAAAGTTAAAGGTTATCAAGAAAAAGAAAAGTCTCGGATGGCAGTATGTACAATAATCTGACTCTCCTGTATTACTGTATTTGTGTATATAAAACGTATATGGCACTCTACATCACTATCATAAATTGCATATGTCAATAGTAAGTACCAATAGTTTATTAACTCAATGTTTCGCAAAACATAGGAGCTGTTGGCACTTGCTCGCGCGACAAAAAGTGAGAACGCCTTATGGTAGCCTCGCAGCTTTCTCCGGATTTAGATTTTATGTTTAATTTCATGTAACATAAAATATAATTTATATATATGTTATCCGCATAAATTCTATAACCTAGTTGAATGGAAGACTGTATCTCCTGAATGCATGTGTTAGCCATCAGGTTGCTTCATTGCCCATTTGTATTGATCTGCAACAGTATCTTCTCGCCTTTTCACTACACTATCTCACCAACGGTGATGCTATCAATAAAGATTTGATTTAGTAAATGAAATCGTAAGCTTTATAGGTCAGAATTCGTGAATCAAATATTGAGAAATTTCATCGCTTGATTCCTTTGAAGATGCGGACACTAAATCTACATCATTCCTGTACTGTATTATATTGCATGCAAGTATTTTAGCGAAATAAGTCTGCTGAAACTTCGTTAAAGGTGTACTAATATTACAATAGAGACAAAATCAATTCTAACCTACAATCTAGTCTGTACAGCATACCGTAGTTGTATCACTGTACCAAAAGTACTGGACTACCGTTAATTAATAGGCCATACGAATTCACTACGAATAAGAACCGGCTAGCTGTAGACGCCAAACAACTTTAAATTAGAAGCCAGTTTAAAACTATCATTATAAAAACTCCAACATCATGCTCAATGAATCTTTCTATAAAACATGTATTTCAGTTAAATTATACCAATACACTTTAAATCGAAGAATAACGGTTTATTTCATTTACCGTTCAATTTACATTATGACGGCTTAAGGATGGATCTGAATCGATATCTCTAGGTATTTACCAGTAATTGGTCAAGTTTGTGTACAAGAGGCTAATTTTTTTCTTAAAATTACGATATCGGCACTACAGTTTCTACTTAAATTGCACGATAAACCTGATATAACTCATAGCTAAATGATACTTCAATATAAGATAAGAACGCGAAATTTGTAATAATGTTGTCATTATCATTACACTAAGAAGTAACGTAAATTTTAGTTGAATTAGAGAAACTAGAGTGATTGTATAAATCTTATACTACCTATGTAGGCATGAATTGACATGTTGAAGATAACTACTGTACTTTTTCATAGCTACTCATAATCGGGCGATAAACTCCTACTAAAATATCGCCCCAAGGTTAAGTAACTCTACAGGCTACCATGAACAGTTTTAGATCAAAACCAGGAATTATTTTAGTTCTATACGTGTATGAGAAAAATTTCATTAAAATATTTCATTAACGTATTTTTCCTGGAACATATTTTTTATCGAGGATAGGATCACATAAGAACATGTGCAAGCACTTTTCATTTTGAGCCAATGGATGTCCAGCGATCCTGTAGGAAAGAAAAAAAAAAAACAGTAACATCACTTTGATTTCTTAATAGTTGAAGATTTTCAATAATGCCAAAAGATGTCACTAAGAGTAAAGGACGGGACATTTGTATATGAATAATTTTAAGTTAGGAAAATCTATAGCCACAAAACGTACTTATTAATGAATCCTTCAAGGCCAGAACGGCGCTCCTCAATGAAACCTTCTTCATATATACCTGTGTATTTCATATGGCATAAGTAAATAAATTGAAATCCCCAAATAGTTTGCAATTAATATTACCATTAAGACGGGTGATAAACTAATAATAATATCAATTTAGTTATTGTAAAATATATTGCGTCCAATTGATTAGTTAACTATATACCGCGTCAAAACTATCTATGAACTACGTGTTATATTGTATGCATTTGCTAAGTATTTACCATCGTCAGATCGAAATGGCAATTGCCTTTTCAATGCTTTCCCAGGTAAAGGAGGCACTACAATCTGAAAATTAATTCAAATCCACATTATTATTAGAAGCTATTAAAATATTTTGAAAATTTCGAACGAAATTACTGACAATACGCGAAATGTAGTATTACTCGTTTATTGTACTGCTTGACTATATAAATAACGAAATTGGCAGTCACTATCATAACTTGGCCAGTTTATGTCTAGTATTTTCCGTAAATTACTGTCATGGTATTAGCGATCATTATGTGGAATTGTTAGTCGTCCAGCTTTCCAATACAGTAATTACAATTTAGAGCAAATTGTAATTGATATCCTTTTTATATCTAGCAGAGGCTTTACTATACTGTGACTTATTGTAAAGTTTGCAGAAGAAACTCTGATACCGTATAAGATGCAATATTAAAGTATAAAGAGGATTATTTTGAATTGTAAGTTAGTTAATACTATGTTGTGTACCTTGCTTGTCCTTTCTAACTCCGATTTTAGCCATTCGAAGTCGCTATAGCGTCGTCTGACCGATGTTTCGCGCTTTTTAAATATTGGAAGATTGGTCTAATGATGTTAGAAAGAAAGGATGAAAATAATATTTTAGAAATTGCCAAAGAAAGAAAGATACACTACCACGCGTCTAGCAGAATTCAAGCCGAGTGGTGGAAAAAGGTAAATATGCGTCATATAGAATTGAATCAACAGATCATCGAACTAGTACTTAACTTAAAAAGACTACTTTACTTTTATATTATCTAGCAATGCACTTCAACGACGACACAAGTAATAAAACATTGCATTAATTAAAGTATTTCATCTACGTTTTCAAGATAAACAACATCATCATTTCAATTATGTAATTAATTCGTCATCATTATCATTCTAGACCATGAACTCACTCCAAGTAGAGTTAAGGGGGTAATCTCAATAGGAGCATTAATATTAAATTGGCAATAAAGGCCGCTCAATCACAGCAACAGAGCACCCAATTTAGCCAATAGTTAGTAGCTGACTTTCACTTCAATATATCGATTACTCTCAAATGTTCAGCAGAAAGTTGTTGTAACCCGTTGTTGTAATTGGTCCTCGTTTACTCAGTATACGAGTATATTCGTTATTGTAGCCTGCCTATGGGAAGGCATTTGAACTTGAGATAAACCGAACTAAAATCAATTCAACTGGAAGGAAAAATTGTATCAAAAGTGTATTCCGGTTTTAATCCACTAGTATCTTTCAAATTAGCCCCGCCTTTACTATAGTGTGGTTATTGAATCGACTACAGTTTATTTTCAGTTGAACTTGATGTCTATTGGAAACATCTTGAGTGATTGATGGCGAACGAGCACAGTAACGATTGTATCTTGCTGTCCATGACTGTTGACCTATTTTCAATTTTGTCCCTCTATACTGATATTAAGCGTAAGCGCTTCCAAATTGTAACATAGAATCGGTTCAAGAAATTATCTTGAGAGTGCTCTTATCGATCGACATTTCTAAAATAATTGTGGTGTGTCAATTTTAAGCATAACCATGTACCAAAACTAATTGAAAAACAGCCAATTCTAGACAGTTATCCTAGCTTTCAATGGAATTCATGATTGGCCATGAAAACTGTAGGTAAAGTGGTGGTCTAATTGAAACAAAGTGGAATTCAACCGTCATGACTAACTAACTGTATCGACGGTGATGATTTTCCATGTGGGTGAAAACTACATGATACTGTAACAGAAAGCGAAGAGAACATTTTTCAGCTTGACTCGTCTACTTTTCTACAGCACAATTTCATTAAATTGATTCCGTTCTGCAGAGCAAGAAATGCATTAAAATGGCAAACTATCGCGGGATTGAATAAATCCAATTAGTTCTTCCACTTAGTCTATGCAGAGTCAAGCGAGCGAGCGAGTGAGTGTCGTGTCGATTGACTCTCAGCCATTGACGTATTGATTATCATTCACCCGTCACCCCTCGTCGATCGATCGATCGTGCACGAACCTTCATCTTGACTTCGTAATCGGTGAAGCGCTTTTTACCCAAGTCATGGGTTTCAGGATTGATGACGTCGATCTCTAGGCAGTTATCGGGCTCCGCGTAAGCATCTTCTAATGTTTGCTTTGGAGCGTTCAATCGATGAGTTCCAATGTCAGAATGATCTTCAGTGTCGGACATGATGGCTAGCAGTGAAGCAGTTGGGAAAAGACGATCTTGAAGCTTTGATGATGATTATCATTCACTCACTATACGGGCAACCGGTGAGGTAATCAGTCTACTCTACAGTACACTGGTACAGTACAATGTCGTTATCATGGCTGGGCACTCGTGGGCAGGGGACAGCACAGAAGTGCATTTGAAACTCACTAGACGTGTCAACTCGACCGCAACGTCATCTCACACCCCGAGCATGTTTTGGCGGTGTCATTTTTTGCAGCACAACCAGACCACGGTGTTGAACGCTACAGTATAAAGTACTGGAGACGGAAAATGTCATCTGTACACTACTACTGTACTCTACAGTACAGTACAGTAGTACACTCATACCAGCCAGCGGTGACGTGCCTACAGTACAACCAGGTACTGTACTTAGTGTACTATACTGTACAGTATGTATTGTACACTGTACGATAGGAGCCAGTTCTACTGTAGGTAGAGTAGAGTGCTATTAGGCAAAATAAATTGTAGTAAAGCTGCAAAAATTTGCCCAAAATTCTCTACATACAGATAGATGAAGGGACAAATCGATCCACTTTTAAAACTACAATTCTGTAAATATCCTCCTAATTTGAAATAACTACCGAAGTACAGTGTACAGTACAGGGTAGTTTTTCCAATGCTTTAAAATTGCGAATTCGTGCCGCTTCTCCAGGCTGCGGTGTTGCGCTTAAAATATACAATATCGATTAAACCAAGTTGCCTTACGATGTTGCTACGACAGTATCGTCACAATACTTTCTTCCTTTTACCACTGAAATGGATGAATTACAATACGATATAGTAGTAAAGTGCACACGAGTAAATAAAACTCTATACTGACAATTCCATAAGCTACTAAATACTACGGTAGCATGGAGTAATCCATGGTAGTTCATGACTGATTAAGTATTGCTATATCATCTCAATATACTCCAGTGAAGAAATGAAATGCTGCCAAAATTGTGATACACTGCAACATAGCCTGTGCATTATAATTATTCAACTCCAACGGCATAACTGTCAATTCGTGCAATCCAAATTGAGTTAATATGGTCGTCTTGTATCGACTATCATTCATTGCAAGCGCCACTTTCATTGTACCCTCAACGCCCTAAAATTCTGTAATTTCGCCATTACCTTCCATTTGAAGCCTTCTAAAAAAAAGATACAACATTAAATAAGTACCTATTGCTAGGAGACGAGTTGTCCGATAAAATATTGAATTTTTTTATCATATCTTTTTAAGTAATTCAACTCGAACGGCATAACTGTCAATTCGTGCGATCCAAATTGAGTTAATATGGCCGTCTTGTATCGACTATCATTCATTGCAAGCGCCACTTTCATTGTACCCTCAACACCCTAAAATTCTGTAATTTCGCCATTACTTTCCATTTGAAGCCTTCTAAAAAAAACAATATCGAATAAGTACCTATTGCTAGGAGACGAGTTGTCCGATAAACTATTGAATTTTTTTATCATATCTAAGTAATTTAATGACTATCAACTGTATCGTGAGTAGTTTTATATGAGTACAATAGCTACTAGAACTATGACACGGGTATGAATTTATCAAATCAGAGCGATGAACTTTTTGACAAAGAATGACTAGGTGTAGTGTAAACATTGCATGCTATACGAGGCATACAGTATACGTATAACAAAATGGAAGATATGTCAATATTTCAAGAAATTCTGAAAACTTGCAGATTACCAACAGTTGATAGTAGAGTCATGGACTACGAAGTATTTAGTACTCCATGGTAGAATATACTGTATACGCGTATTAATATATTGTGTACTTCTATTGGTTAGAGATGATGAAATAGAATAGGCCTAATGAAGCAAAAACAAATTGAAAATGACATAACAGCGTCACTGAAATTGATAAATCGTAATTTCATGATAGCGATCTAAAGAATGAAACACATCGAATCTGTAGTATCATTGTAGTAGGACGTTATATTTTTAGATTTACTATAGGTATAAATACAACTGTCAATACGTTTGCTAGAGGATCAGCCTAACAATTAATAAATTGTAAGCACAGTAATAGAGAATACCATAATGATGCACTAATTGCATCATTGTCGTATACCGACCTCACGTTATTGATAATAAGTGAAGTTGAGTAGAACTATGTGAATAATGTTATTAATTTGTACGTGTGTTGCGTATACGCTTTACTATGAGAGAATGTAATATAGAAATACTCTCTGTAAAAATAACTTGAAGTTGAGAACTGAGCACGATTACAGCACATTGCATTGACATAATGTTTAGATTAATTATTTATATGCATGAATGAATTTTATGATTGTGGTCGTTAATAACAAGAGAAGATTGTCTTGTCGATTTGAGTACAAGATATAACAGAGATGACTATAACTAAGGTAGAATAGTATATTTAAAGTGGTCCTACCGTATTCAGAAATAATTCAAAATATATTCTTTTATCTATAGAGCTAAAGCGATATTTATTATTTTATACGGACATATTTATACATGTCGATGTATCCCAAGAATACATACGAATACATTGTCGTTTTTACCGCATGACGAAAATTATAATTAATTATTGATATCGTATACGGATCGCAGCATATACGATAATTATGAGCGCTGTATTGTATTTTCCATAGCAAATAGAATAGGTTTTATCACTGTTCTAATCTCCGAGCGTTACTGAATAAAAAGATCTATATGGTCGGTAAATGATGCAAAATAGGATACTCTAGTCATTTCATTACTATGGATATACTGCATAATAAATAACCAATACAGTATCCTATTCATTTCACTATAATTATTGTTGATCAATTTTACAATATCAATCAAGCGATTTATAAAAATGCTATAGAAAATTGAAAAGCTACAGTAATTTAGTTGTAAATGACTGGCAATTCACGATATCCTGGAATTTGATTTTACAACTCCTTTCAGCATTTTATGATTGACCGGCCAAGAAGCATTTAATGATAGATCATCTTCGGGTCGACTTTCATCTTCACGATCAATTGTAACTTTATGAATTGGCTTCCTCACTCCAATAACCGATAATAATTTCAATTCCATAGGCCCAAGACGCAAGTAATCCTGAAGGAAAATTGTTTTCCGAATAATAAGTTAACTAGAGTCAATACTTTTACCTCATAGCGAAAACGCTACGTGTATAATGGCAGTACAGAAGGTCCTATTTGTTTGCTATGCAATACATATTGCAAATGTTAAATTAATTTTCAATTTATCCCATATCAGCTACACATACTAATGATTCTCAACGATAGGATATACTAATACAAGTACATCATGATTTTAGCAAAGCAGAAATTTGAATAAAATCAAGAAACAATGTCGCACACACCTCGAAATCTTCATCTTCCAGATCTAAAAATGGATCATCGTCATCTTCGCTACTTTCAGTAAAATCAGCTTCAAACTCTGTCGTATCTTGAACTTTATTTTTACTATCGCTTATCCCTAGAGTTTTATCACTTTGACTTAGAAAATCGGAAACTTTTATAGATCCGCTATCAAATGTTGATAATTGCTGATAATCAAAGGAATTATGCAAAATTTCCTGAGGCTGCGTATAATCTCTTTTGGCAATATCAAGTTTATCCAAAGCAACTTCAAGTTTATCTGTTATGGAAAGCAATCAATTACAACCGCAGTAAGTACTTGAAGAATTTTAATACTTTTATAAATAACTTAAACATATATGTATTTGAGCTCATTACCTTGATCGCTTAAACCATATGCGTAAGGATCATTCTGAGGATCATCTGTTCGGTCTTTTTCACCAAAATTGAGATAAAATTTTCTACAAAGCATAGAAAAATAATAGATCTATGGCAAGCTGCTAATCTTAATCAACTACCTGATATGAAATCTAGGAATATTGGCAAAGTGATGCTGATATACAACGCCTTACTTGGAAATCCTAAGATCAGCTGCCTTGCTATCGAAAAGCGTTCCCATTGCATGTAGATTCTTGCTTTCTATTTCTTCAACTAGCCTCGTCAATTTTTCATGTTCTTCTTGATACAATGCAATCTACCAAAAGATAAATATTGAATACATTCAAATTATATCCATTTACGAAGGAAAATGTGATATTTCGGTTTATTTTTAATTTTATTTACAGTAACTAATTTAGCAAGGATTAAAACTACTTAGCAAGCAAATACTGATACATATTTTGTGTTTGAATGCTAACCAAACACGGTAGGAATGAAAGTTGATGTCAAGGGAAAGATCGTTCATAAGTTATAAATCTCATTATTAATTGAATAAAGTAATTTTATGTAGCTTTTTAGGAGATTTTACCTCTTTCTTCATCCATTGATTATCTTTTATTTCCACATGATTTGTTTTATCCATATTTTGAAGTGCAACCTTTTCAAAACACGAGTAAAATTAATATCAAGATTCACATCTACTGGCAAGTAGTGCCCAATAAGACTTCTTTCGCTACCTCAGTTGCAATATCCTTCTGTTTGTTAAGCTGGAGTTCTGTTGATCGTTGTAATTCGTTCTTTTCAGATTCTACAGCCTTTCTTGCATGATCTATATTTGTTGTAATGTATGAATAAATATTTATTTGTAACTAATAATCACCAAAACCGTTTTTGACTTTGTTCAAAGTAAGATAATCCTAAATCTAATCCTTATCCAACCTACCTGCCATTTCTTCGAATTTCATGTCAATATCCTTTAGTTCCTGAACTAAAATTTCTATCTGCTTTTTATGTTCAAACTGGCCATATTCCTAAAATTAGCAGAAATAAATCGGAGAACATAAGTATTTACGAATAAGCACAATCTAGATCTGGATGCAATCAGATATGTCATTATTCCACTGAGTTTAAACTGACCCGATAATCTACTAACTGATCAACTTCAGCTTGTGTCAACTGAATAATTGCATCCCGTCTTCTAATTTCCTCAATCATTTCTAAGAAAAATATCACAGTTTTAAAAGCTATTTTGCTAATACATCAGATCTGGTAATAATGTTGTGTCTAAGTTGTTGTTATATTAGCTTCTAAAGAATAAGAGAATACCCTCAATATCTCGCTCTTCTTGCCGAGCTGTGGCTAATTTATCTTGAAATGCTTTTTCTACCACCTCATACCCTACTTCCTCAACTTTTTGTAAGTTCAGATCTCGTTCTTTCGACTGCTTTAAAAGCTGCTTCATATGGTGTAGTTGTTCTATTTTTAATTTTTTATTCTAATAGCAATAATTATAATTTACTGTTAAGGAAAAATATTGTGCTGGCTCACACATAAGGTTTCGTATCAACGTGAGAGTAAATATTTAATCAATTAATGAAGTAGCAATATTGCTTTATCTCATTAATAAAAATATAGGAGCTAATAAATTCTAAGAGACTGACCCTATCTTTCAATATTTTACTTTTTTCTTGATAATCTCGAAGAGTTCCTTGTGTTTCTTCTATTAACTTCTCTTTACCAGCAATTCTACATTATATATTATAAAAAACTTACAATCAACCAATAAGAATATTTTTCTAATTAAGCTTAGGTGCTCTTATTTGCATGGTTGAGGTCATTATTACATCAATCATCAAACATCAAACATTTCTCCATAAGTATAAATTTAAATGATGTACCGTACGCTAGCAGTGAATCAAGCTTAAAATTCAATAACAGTGCTATATTATGAAATATTTATTTCACTGTTCCATTCTAAGGATATTCCAGTATGGCTATGCTAGATAATGGTTATTTTATACTTAAACAGCTTCTTCAAATAAGAAAGAGATGATTCCGAAGATTGCAATTGAGGCATATAAAAATGTTTCCGAGGTGTAACTATGCTTAACTTACACCAAAAGCACCATACTTACTGTATTTCAATCATAGTCTCTCTCATCTGAATTAGTTCATTCACTTTGTGGTTTTTGCGCTTTTTCTTAGTCTTTTTCTTTTTACCGTCATTTTTATCATTTTTCCCCATAGTTAATAGCTTCCTAAGAAGAAAAGTCAATCACTTTCTTGTAGTCATCATACAGTTTCTACAATCGTAAAGACAGTTATCCGTTTTTAATGTGAAAGATGGTCAATTGGATCTATAACCCAAAGCTAGAAAGTAAACTTGACCCTGTGTACCGAATATTGCGCTTACTAAAAGTACGAATAGTATTATTCTTTTGACAATTAATTGAATACGTTTTATCTGGTATAACGTAGATAAAGTTAAATTAAGCTGAATAGGCATAATGAGAATTATAGTATTGGACTTACCTCCACTGTATTTATTTTGATCTTTGTAATTATAATTAGTCGAAATCTATCTGCAATAAGCTACCTTCCTACCCCTTCACTTGCCTGATATGAAATAGAAATATGTTATTTACTGTAGCAAGATATTACATTATACTGATATCCATTTCCATATCTAAAAATGATTCCTGAAAAATTTTGGAGTACTGTATAAAAGTGTCCTTTTGCTAGGCGATTTCACATGCCAATGGCGTATAAACAAATTCTGACTATGCTACTTTAAGCTGATTTACTAGAATTTTATATATTTCATACAGTACATACCCAATTTGCCGATACGTTTATTTCCTTCAGTTGATAATACAGTATTGTTATTGCTGTGTAAGTGCAGATTGCAAGCTAGTCTTCACGTACGAGAATACTCATGAATACCACCAGTACTGTATATGGAAGAACTAAAGTTAGAAGCTAACACTATCTAAAGAGAATTGTGCACCTTCACTATTTTAAGAAATTTCCGCAGTAACTTCATTAATTAATCAAGGTTAAATCACTTCCTCCATACATGTATTTACTGCATCAATACGCGTATATCCTAAGGTGAACCTCGATAGAGTCAGGGATGAAATATTGTTATGTACGCCGATTTATTTTCATATTATTATTTATTAATAAATACATGATATAGGTATACTGTAGTAAACGAATATTTTCTCTGCTTACAGTAATCACCCTGCTTCAAGTACTGCTGTGTAGTATAAGATGTCCAGTATAATTGCAGTGGCACTTTTGCGAACTCTGTGCAATTTGTAACGGTATCCTAGTAACGGTTCGGATGGGAGGACGGCCGTAGCAATGATTTGGTACAATCATGGTCGTGTACAGTGTACAATGTACGGTAGGGTACAGTATAATCCTGCTCTGGTTGTGCATTGTACAGTACTGTACACTGTCCGCTGTGCTGTCAGGTCAGTAGTGACATTATTTTTGCTAATATTCCTAACTACTATTCAGACTACACTCTGCAATACGGTAGACCATGTTGGCAAAACTAATGTCACCAAACAGCGAATGATGGACGTTGAACAGTACGGATCGCCTGCAATTTAAATACTGGACCCAGGATCAGCCATGCCAGAATACGCTTGCGCCGTGGTCTGGATTAAAATGGCGGCAACCAAAGATCTCAAGAACGAGCTTGCGGATCTCATTAAAAAGAAGATAACTTTAACGGTAACCTTTACTCTATGTTATTTCTTTAAAAATTCTATGCTCTTATCGTCCCTGTATATCGAATCTTTCTCAATATTCAATGATCGATCCAGGATAGCAATAAGTGAACGTTTTTCACTCAATGTAAAGAGCAATTTCCCCCCCAAAAACAGTCACTACAGTGATGGACAATGCGTTAAGACCAGTACAGTACGGTACGGTACTGGAAACGATTGTGGTCCTGCTCGTAGTATCACTAGTATGGTCTACAAGGTACTTACATAAACTCACTCCCTGCTACAGTATGAGGTTGTCCAACAGTAGTCTTCAGTCCAGGACAATAATCATTACTTCAAGGGACCCAATTCAGTCCTTACTGCAGCATTTCTCTCGTTGAAAGAGAATCTTTCTTACCAATTTTGATCCAATTCGATTGATGTACGTTGGTGAGATGGAAATTACAACTAAATTTGTGAATTATAAAGGCAAATCATGGATTATACTGCTGTAATACCCAGTTCTCCTTGAGAAATAATGTTATTTTACTGTAGTATACTGCCTTTATTGTCAGTCGAGTAGTGCATCGAAGCAAAGCAATATAACAGGGAATGGAGACGAAGTAGCAGGAATCAACCTGAAAAAATGACTTCTATGAATGCTGTAGAGTACAGTGCAATAGACATCAACAACCACATCAATAGAGAATAGGAATAGTCCTTCTCAGGCAGTGATGAACTTTCAATCTTTACAGCATATCCATTACAGTAGAAAAGGAACTGATTCCAAGTTTTACATCAAAATCTTGACCTAGCCATATTAATAACAGTCTCGTGCAGAAGAAGTTCTAATCAAGACTATCAAATCATTCAGAATAAAATAAATAAAATGCAGTGCTGTACCACTGCTGGTTGATGTAGCTACAACACAACGCAATAGGATTCGACAGTAGTCGACTGCATATATGGAGATTGTGAAGGTCTACGAGCATAGTGTGCTGTAGGCATATTTAGGCTGCTGAGAGTGATTGCGATAGCTATCAATCTACTGTGAAAGCTCGTTTCCCTTGCAAGTTCAGCTGCAACTAGAAATAGGCTCTATTAGCACAGAAGAGCATAAATCGAGATACAATCACTTGTTAACGTCAAATTTCAAATTTTGCTCCTATTAGTAGGCATCGAAATTACTTACAAGTCCAATAGGTTTTCAATTCCGTAACCTAAACGTTATGAGCCAATTTCTTTGACGTCTTGTAACACCATGACCTTGTCGAGTCCATTACAGCTTGTTATTTTATTGCGGATTTCTAGATATCACACAGTACACTATATACATTTCTACGTTCACAATTTCAATTGATTTTCAATAACTAGGAGGACTTGAACAATTTAGAGAAGCAAATCTATAATTTTGAAAGCAGCTATTTGGAAGATACATACCTCTATGGCAATGTTATTAGAGGATGGGACCGTTTTCTTGCTAATAATAAGTAAGAATAAGAGTGATAAATGATTTTGTTCTACTATTGCTAATCAATCTTCTGCAAGACATTGTATGTATAGAAGCAACAGTAAATCCTCTTACCTTTCTGATTGAATATATCCTACTAATAAGTAATTAATTTTGATGGCTTTTATTGCCAAACTTACCAAGATGTCTCCCTCAGGCAATCTAGTGTATTGTATAATTAATCACGGTACATCAACAAGGAGCTTCTGTTACTTGCAGATCAATCTCAAACAAATATTTCTGCAATTCTAGATCCACGAATCAAAAAATCGAAAGACGAAACCGTAAATTTAAAGAAAGTGAAAGACTATTCTCCAAGTCTTCCGTCACATCAAGACACAATCTGGTAAATGAATATATTTTAGCCACCTCCTAACGTGACAACTTTCAACTTGTCACGAAACTTCATACTGATACATTATGATTTTATAGATAAACCCACTCACACAAGAGCTCAACAATGAAAATGGTTAGTTATAACATTACTGTAATCTTTAACCTTGATAAACTTCTACATGCTGGCTTTCCTTGCAAATAGAAAATTTAAAATCTCCTTCCTCATAACATTAGCTGAACCAGTTGTACCTGAAACTGTTAGCCATCAAGTAGAAACTAAAGAACCAGTTCTACCCGAAGAAGAACGTAAAACAGTTGATAGTAAAGAAAGTAAGTCAATTACAATAAAATTCCAGTGCATTTTCGCTTTAAGCAATGTTTTCACACAGTTCTTGGTTATTATCGTATTGGTAGATATATCACAGAAGAAAAAGCGAAAAAATCGTCATAACAAGTAAGCGCTATAAATTGACTAGACTTTATGATTCGTTATACATGTTGTATTTATGTTATATATATATATATATATCCAATTCAAATTTCACGTTGATTTACATGCTATTATAATCAATGACAATGTATCTTCCTTTGATCTTAGATCCGAAGAGAAACTAAAGAAAAAAATTGCGCGCGTTGGAGCACAAAACGACGTCCATCAGGTTATTTCTTCTGTTCTGTATTTCACCATACAGCGACTGTTACTCATTTTTTTATGTAATGATACTTTAGGAAGATTAGTCTGAATTCCTGTTATCGGAGGCGATATTCCACTGGCTAACCATGACATTGCGTATCTCTCTCTCTCTTCCTGGTGTTAGAATGTCCTGAATGATTAATGCGCTATTACCAATAATTATTGTTATTGATAATATTGAAAATATTTTCAATGCAAGACGTGAGAATTATGTAAATATTTTATAAAATGATAGACTGAACAGTGCATTATCTTGGAGATCTATTACTAATTGCACAAGATCGTGTATTTGTCTTTAATGTATACAGATATTTTGTGCGTATTGCACGACAGTGATCTTTGTTAATTAAAACTAGATCGCATTTTTAATGATTTGCTACATCACTTAGTGTATGTATTGCACCCATGCAGTTATAAAGTAATAGAAATTGTAGCCCTGACTAGCTTATTTAAATTATTATGGAGCACTCAATGAAATAAATAAAACGGAAATACTGTATATTGCTGAGTTAACAGATGAAAAGTTTCTGAAGTTATTTGTGCTTGGCTATGGAAATTTTGGTGGAATCAACAAAACCCCTTTTCAAAGTAAAATAAATCTTCAATCTATATCGGTAATCTTTTAGAGTGCGCGCACTATTCTCAAGTATAAGCTCGGGGCAAAAACTTTGTGCGTTTGCAATCCTTAAAGCGCGGTTCCAGAAGCAGTTCGGTACGAAACTATGACACATTGGTACAACTGAGTTTCAAATCTAATTATCAATCTCACACCTTGTATGTTCATCTATCGTATTAAGCAACCATATTATATTTTCTTATGGAGATATTACAAGTACGTATTTTAGGCTACCGTAGTACTGAAAGCAAATACTGTATGAGTGCAGGTAAACATTGCGCTAGCTAATAATTAACTTAAAGCGTACAGACCAATTATGAAAGCTTACATAATATTTCGTAGATGTAATTTTCATTTCATTGATTTCTCAATGAAGAACAATCAAATTTGTAAGTATAATTGGAGCTATGTTGAGCACATTCATTAATCAGATTGTGAAAGTACTAAATTCAGGTTTCACTAAAGCATCTTATTCAAATCAAATTTTTAAAAAACCTACTACCTGGCTAATCTCACAAATTATTTATCAGCTGCAAATACGATGGACCGTTGTTTTTTTCGAAATAGAACTGTTAACGAAATTTTTGATCTTTGAATATGAGCCTACATGTATATGCTAAATCGTAAAGATAGCTTTTAGTTTTCAGATATTGCCTGCTATAAAATCATAACTTGACTTGCCCAGCAGGCTAAATTTATCAGTCAAGATGAACATCTTGGCAAACTGTATTTTAGCGTAGGCCAAATTGGAAATATTTAGTTCATCGCTTGCATTTTTATAGACCTTTATTCCCATTCATAACCCTCTAAATTGGCTTAAAATCACTTCTTACACAATACAGATTCGATTATATGAACATAAGAACAGCTATTCCAGCTGACAATCCTATAAATACATATACTTACAATACATTGCAAACTTGAAGTCTTCATATTACAACAAACCTATTGATAGATCATATAAATTATATATAGGCCCTGTGCACTATCTCTATAATACTATGTAAACCAGTGGTAAATAATTCAATTATACATTATGATTTACTTTGAAATTCAATATTCAATTATAAAACGATTTGGCCATCATGAAATTTATGAAAGCAGCGATGGTTTACAAGACAATGCAAATATCAGCATGTTCTAACTATTCATTTCACAGGTGAGTCTAGTGTATCTAATTATTGTAGTATTTGTACGATACATGAAAGCTCAATAACTTCGATTGAGAAGTATTTTAAAAACAAACTAACGCTATAGGATGTTAATTAACGTAGTGTTATTAATTGTCAATCAACTTTATCGCAGAATCTGAAAAGATCACAATATACGTGCACAGTCCTAAAACAAGCATATCTACAGTATTAGAATGGTGATAACATTTGATTAAATTAAAATTTATCTCATCTCGCTTCAATAATAATATACATTTATTACAAGCTGCAAGCCGTTCGCTAGGTTTGTCATTGTACCATATAGAATTAATATATGCATCAAATGGCATACCACGCTTGATGGAGAGAGAATTCAATGGCAATAAAAATTTTGTATTTACGGTGAAAATTCCAGGTTTGAATAAAATAAAAATAATAATACAAAAAAGTCCGTATAGTGACATACATACTATAAAGGACAGAAGCATAAAGTATTAATTTCATTTCAAGTATCTAGCAAGCAGTTATTAACTTACTAGATTACGAGCTACTAGGTAGAAATTTTATCTTGATAGTGGTCCAATTTACAGGCATAACAGAATAGTAATAAATCAGTCTGTTTGGTATTATTGCAGGTAATAGTACTGTAAGGAAAGTTTTACTACACCATAAGAGTGTAATACAACCTCTTTCGCTTCTCAACATAATCGATATTGAGCGTATAGTATATCAAGGTCGTATTCAGCTTGAATTGGTACAATACAATTTATACATTTATGTAATTCATAAAAATAGCTCAGATAGTACCAGCCGTATCTGATTGATACTATTATAACAATAGTTTTACAGAGTTTAAGTCCATAAAATTGGATCTCTTTTAACATATAGGAGGTATTGGTCCCGGTCCTCTTTCAAATCCAAAAACTGGATATTGATACAAATACTACAGAGTGGCAGAGCTTGTTGTCTACTACAATCCTATACCAATGGTGGATATATTGTGTTATCTCTTTTTCAAGCGTTAGTAGTCGCTATCAGCCAGTCTGAAGATTAATCTATGACAATCCTATTAAGAATCTGGATCCGGATCCAGTACACGTGTAAACCAACAATGCTCAGTTTTCATCATTGCATGTGCTAAAAGATTCATCCGTATATGTTGATTAGCAGAAGCAATATTGTTAATGACAAGATAGCCGTTGACATCGTGCCGCGTGTAATGGATGACTTTCTTCTGTAAGATAGGCCACTTTAGATGAAATCGTTTATTATGAATTAAATCAATGCCACACTTTCTAGCCAGCAAACCAAGGTAGATACCATCGGAACATTGTAGTAAAGGAACAGAATCTGATGCAATGATTAAATCTCGAGCAACATCACGACTCATGACCGTCCCATAACCTTGAAAAAATGGAGGATAATAATTGCCAGGAAATTCTACTTTGGAAGCATATTTTGGATCATATGGATCACGATTAGGAACATGAAAACGCCAATCGTGCTCAACCTGACCATGCCATAATCGGCTGAGTTTACGTCTTATAATTAGCCAACCCAGAAATTCAAACATTCGCGGAGCATTGACAAAAGCGTTATCATTACCTTTATACAAAAATAAGGGCTGGCAATAAATATAACTCCAATGAATACCCATTAACGTCTTCCTGGACATGTTGCGCTCATTGTCGACAAAATCGCCAAGTAATAAATCTTGATATTGCTTATACTCGGCTTGTAATTGTGCATCGCCATCTTGTATACCAGTCGATCCAATGGAGAAGATGACCCGCCAAGCGTTTGGTGCTCCATAGATTTCGGTAAAGCGTTTGCCATTACCCCATGATCGACGAATAGCTTTACGTAATTCGAAATTTTCAGGTTTACTATTAATAACTAGCATGACAATGGCTTGCGATGTACAAGGAGCTGGCGTATACTTGGTGACATGATTGATTTGAACCGGTTGACGAGGACCGGGTAATAATCGAATGGTAATGTGGCGAGGAAATTTACAACGCTTTGCTTTACCAAGGACATGCTTTGGTGCAGTCATATTAAAAGGTCTTCGAATAAATTTTGTCACCTTGGATGTCTTCTTAGAAGAGCCATTCTTCTCCTTGTCTAGTTTAGTATCCTTTTGATGTGCATCAGCCTTACCTTTATCATTATTATCATGGTTATTACCGTTACTGACTTCATTTTGACCAGCAACCGGCGCACCATCGTTTCCTTTAGCCCCTTGTCTTTGAATCGGTGTCGACTTTCCCGTGTGCGATACGACAAATATACCCACATAAACCAATAAGCAAATAGTTAAACTTGTGGATAAAACTAAACGTAACCTCATGTTAGTCAAAAAATACTGAACGATCAAGTCGTTCGATCAATTGGATCAAGTTGAAGATGCCCCTAAATTGGCCTTAATTGCTAACGCACCACCGCCAATGACGACAAGGACAGCAGTGAAACCATCAGAGTAAAAAGTATTCGAGGAGGATGACGAGTCCTCACGCGCAGATCGTCTACAGTACAGTGCCTACAGTGTACAGTATAAGGTATCATACTTCCATACTGTACACTGTACAGGATAGTACTGTGCTCTGCTGTCGTCTTTCCGGTGTCCAGTTGTCCCAGGTGAAATCCGATGGTGGAAAAATTGGCAAGAAACTTTTTGAGTTTGGTTTTACTGGACAGTACAGTAAAAGATGAAATTTTCTCTTCTTTCAGCTGGAGATGGAGTTGATGGACACTCAGTGGATAGTATAGTGTACTAGTGTACTGCGACCATGCCCAATCTGTTTGTAGAAGGGACGAATCATTCATTGGTGCAAAAAGGACAGTACTACTGTCAACTGCAGTCTAGTATTGTACTTTGATACTGGATGAGCCAGTAGACGTAATCATTGTAAAGGATAATTCTCCACACTACTCATCATGACATCATGTTGCACTTGTAGGCAATCATTTGGAAATGATCAAGTTATTGCCAAGTTAAAAGGATGTACTGTATAGTACAAGTACAGTAGGCAAAATAGCACGACTGATTGACAAGCAGACTTCAACTAGGGTCAATACAAGTGTACTTAAACAGGTGTAAAGGGTAAACTAGTGATGTCTTGGATCTCCAAACACTCACCACTAGGGTTACTGGCTGAGCTGTGATATCATCGCTCCAGTACTCATGCACCCAGCAATTGAATGACGTGAGCTTACACGACTAGTTTATTGACTACCTTACAATACTGAACGTCATCAAATTAGGAATATCATAGACCACATCGATCCTAAATGATTGCCTAATTATAATTCACGACTTGCAATCTTGCAAGAGTAACTCCAACTTCACCACTGGAAAAAATGAGCGCTCAGCAACCAGCTCATTCAACAAGAAACAACACAGTTTGACCATGGAATACCGTATTACTGTACTGTACTCAGTGTACTGTACTAGTCTTGTTGGTCAATGGTAGCGTATGGACAAGACTAGATTACGCGGAACACTTCCAGTACAGTAGCCGTACAGTACTTACTGTACCGAGATTACTGTAAAATACGGTAGAATACAGTACTTTACACTAGAGACCTTGAAATACTGTGCACTGTACACTATACTGCAGTGCTTCATACAATCCTATTAGGACTGGACGGCACCGGACGGATACTATGCAGGGTGTACCATAACATTTTGTCACTTTCGGGCCATATTTTTCTTTCAAAATACATGTACAGTAAAGCTATAATAGAATGATATATTAATCAGTATTTGCTTATTAAAATCACTGGTTGATGCTTTTCAAAGTGACAAAATACTTTGATACACACTGTACAGTACATGGCACAATATGGCGCCAGGGTAAGATGATTTTCCAATGGCATCATACACTACAGTACAGTACTTATTACGCAGGTTTTCAACCGTGACTTTTGAGGTATTTGGACCGGTCTAGGACAATTCGACGTCGACAATTTACCGCTGTACAATGGAGTAGTATAGGATGACATCAATGTAGATTGGATAGGACGACGGTGAATTCCAACACTTTGCAGCGTTCAATCCTATACACCGTAAAATGAATCGAATGCAATAAACTATCTGCTTTGATATTACGAGGGTGGATTGAATATTTTACGCCGTCAAATTCATTGAATACGGTAAATTATCCGGTTTCGGTATTGGACACTGTCACGACTTTTGGGCTTTGGAGGTGCAATTTTATCGGTAGGGGTCCCTGTTGACACGGTTGTAAAATATGGCGCACAACTTTTCAGCCCTTCCAATGCTGTCGAAATCACTGAGGCCAAAAAGGTTTTATCCTTTTTACCTCACCGAGTCGCCTTTTTCACCTAGAGGGCACAGATCGAATGGCTACTGCGTTCACCGTACAGCGCGTGGCTGGTTCACTCCACTGAATACTGTAAAGCGTTCTTCTACATTACTTCAATACGTATGGTAGAAGTCATTGAAACAAATGAAGATCAAGCTAGTAAAGTGTTCTTCTACATTACTTCATTACGTATGGTAGAAGTCATTGAAACGAATAAAGATAAAGCTAGTAAAGCGTTCTTCTACATTACTTCAATACGTATGGTAGCAGTCATTGAAACAAACGACGATAAAGCTAGAGATAGCGGGCCTATTCCACAGGCTTACAGTCCCGTACAGATTGCACTACAGTCCTGTACCATTAACTTCGTCGTTCTTAATTTATTTTTTTTTAATCGGTTTATGACTGCAACACCACAGATGCAACTAGAAGTGACGATCTGATGAATTGCAATAATAGCTTAGTAGCAAATGTGCACTGTACAATACCCAAAAGTAATAATAAAAATAATTGCTTTTATGCGATGTACTTCTACGCTACTTTTGTCCAATGGCTAGCAATAATGATGCCATGTGCGAAACCGTGAATCACGAGAACAAATGCATTAATGGAGATTCACAATAGATCGATTTTGACATAATGGATACTCCCCATCTCCATTGACAATAAATTATTTTCACTATCGATTCTTTTACCTCAATGATATTTATTGAAATCTTGAAGCTAGGCAGAATTCATTTCAAACTATAACCCCTTAATCTACGTCTCAGATTGAATCTCCTATCACCGCTACGTTACTACAGTAGCATATTACATCATTTATGAACATTGACTCAAAACATGATGGATTCATTTCGATCCTGTTTCCAAAGTTTTTCTATCGAGCGCTTGAAAGCAATGGTATACTGGGACAGTATACATTTTTAGCATTTGATACATTTTTTGACTACGTCATAACTAGCACTGCACGATCATTTTGTATATTGTGTATACGTACGTTACTTATACCATTGGATTGTTTTATTTTTGAGAATTATGGCATAAATTACTAGAAATTTCTCTTCCTAGTAGTCCATCTGATGAAATCTACACTACTCAAGTCATTATACGACCATTGAACTTAAAATAAACTAGTACGTTTATATACACAATCACAGTCCTACTCACTGCAGTAAAAAGTACTGCTAAGCCATAATACTGGCGTCGCTTGATTGATTATAGACGCATAGAATGGGATAAATCAAGTTTAAAGCATATGAGTTGTTATTCGAGTTGTACATTAGGGAAATGTTTAATGTTGAAGTAAGGGTTACGATAAACATCTTGAACTACAATGCACTAAATACAATTTGGCGTTAACCGAGAACATTCAATCATTGTACCGAATATCAAACAACCACGGCATTTTATGTGAACAGCGATATCCTCCTATACACTTCTAATGTAACCATTTACATACATTATTTGGTAAAATTCAATTCAATTTCTTATGTAGGTAAAATGGAATATAAGTCTTATTCGATAATACATTCCAATACAGTATCGCAGGTGAATGATAATATTACCTTACTCATTGATTACATCTAAATTCTTATATGTAATACAGAAACCAGCTCTAATTACGACAATCCTTTACAGATGCCACGTATAAAAGCAGTCGTTAATTCAATCACGGCTGAAGTGATACGGGAAATTTGCTAAATTCTACTATTTTCTTAATGACATCCATCAAGTCATGCGTTCTGAAGTCACAAAGAGAAAAATACGCGTAAGTGGCTCTTTTAACATTTAGCCCAAATTTCGTCAGTAATATAAAAAAGACAAGAAATATATTATCCAGTTTCTGTTAATTAAAGCGATCAATGTACTGTATTTGGGAATACTATTTATGCGGTAACGATGCTAGAAGTAATTGTATAATTAATGTCATATAAATCGCAAAACAGCATAGAATGCATCATCTAAAGTTTTTCTATAAGTTTCAAAAATCCGATGTTCCCAGCTGTAGCATTGAATAAACTAATTGCTATAGTTGATAATAATCCATAATGCTGGATTTCTGTATGAAAGCGTTGTACTCTAACGCTATCAACTTCAATATTGTTACCTTTATTAACTCAATCCATGATTATTCCCACTAGTTCATAACAAATTACTGCAACGTTTACATGTATACCTTATTGTCTGCCTTTGCTAGAATATCCGCAACTTCAGAATGGCCTACTTCTACAGCTATATCATGTGCAGTTTGACCTCTCTTTTGAAAAATTATTTTAGAATTAATCAAATGTGTCACAGTTATACAATCTGTTACTTAATAAACTATCAAAAACAATGTATACGATACCTATTGATATCGTTAGGAAAATTCTGCTTAAGTTGTAAGAATTACAAGCCAAATAAATAGATTCATTGAGCTAAATTATCAATCGATCTACCTTGCTAACTGCATTTAGACTCGCATCATTTCTTAAGAGGAGACGAATACAATCAACGTGACCTTCCCATGTAGCCAAATGAAGAGGTGTATAATCATCCTATCAAAAGTTAATTCAGAACAATATATTACATATAAAAAATACTCTAAAAATAACCA